GCTGGTGGTTGTGGCATCATGTGGGAGTTGAATCCCCAACAGCAGTTGGTGGATTCACAGGTGCTGGACTGCTAGCTGGTGGTTGTGGCAACAGCAGTCGGAACTGCAACAGTTGGTGGATTCACAGGTGCTGGACGGTTAGCTGGTGGTTGTGGCATCAGCAGTCGGAACTGCAAAAGCTGGTGGATTTACCGGTGCTGGACTGTTAGCTGGTGGTTGTGGTATTATGTGGGAGTTGAATCCCCAACGGCAGTTGGTGGATTCAAAGGTGCTGGATTGTTAGCTGGTGGTTGTGGCATCAGCAGTTGACGCTGCAACAGTTGGTGGATTCACAGGTGCTGGACTGTTTGCTGGTGGTTTTGGCATCACGTGGGAGTTGAATCCCCAACAGCAGTCGGAACTGCAACAGTAGGTTGATTCACAGGTGCTGGACAAGCTGATGGTTGTCGCAACATGTGGGAGTTGAATCCCCAACAGCAGTTGGTGGATTCACAGGTGCTGGACTGTTAGCTGGTGGTTGTGGCATCCTTTGGGAGTTGAGTCCCCAACAACAGATCTGGGCCATCAATTCTTCTTTCCTCCTCCTGGACCTCAGCTGGTCCCTCTCTATTTTGTTCTCCTTCTTCTGGCGGAGGTCGCCGGGGAGCAGATGGCTCAACCCTTACCATACCCACCGACGGGAGGCATTCGGTTGACTGTCCAGCAGGATCAGTCCCCCGGCTCTCACCGTCTTGTTCATCTTTTGGTGGAGGTCGCCGGGGAGCAAGCAGCTCGACCCTTACCATACCCACCGACGGGAGGCATTCGGTTGACTGTCCAGCAGGATCAGTCCCCCGGCTCTCACCGTCTTGCCGAAGAGTGATGGAAGTAGCTCTGCTGCGAGGTCTCGATGTGGAACGTCTCCTTCGACGGGAGCCAGAGCGGTGGCGATGAGATCTGGAGCGACGATGTGAGGGTGGATATGAAGGTGGAAATTCAACTGGTGGGAGAGGATGGCTGGGAGCTGGTGGAGAAGTTGGAAATGGTGGAGTGTCCGATGGTGGAGGGTGACTGGTGGTGCTCTCTTGGTTCTTCTCCGCAAAGGCCTTCATATAGTGGATTCGACCGTATGTTTCATCTGTTGCATCATCTCTTCTGGATTGAAGGATACACTGGAACCAGGTTGTGTGGATGTAGGTGCCACGGGAGTTGGTGGTTCTGACGCTTGGGATGTGGAATGAGGTGGAGGTGGAGTGGACGTAGATTGATGGAATGAGAGGAGCTGTTGAAGATGCTGGATGTGGGATTGAGCCTGAGACGCCAGTTGTTGGTTCAGGATGGAATTTTGCTCCCTGAGATGAGCAAGTTGTGCCTGAGTCTGAGCTTGAGACTGAGCTTGAGACTGCTGGTTCATTACATCACCTCCACAAAATTGACCTTGAAGTCCCATCGTTTGCGGAGTCCATCCAAAATTCCACATTGACTCAGGGACGTTGGGAAAACGTCCAGGAAACATGGCAGCACTGTCAGGTGATTAAATTGAAAACAACCTAGTTCAAAACAGATGCATCCACATAAACGTGCAGTTTTCCCCTCGTTAGGCTCAATGGCCAGAGTTCAAGTCACAACCCTCTGGACGGCTTACGTGTTCAACCCCTGAATTACGTGCACAATTTCAACCTCACCGAGAAACCAAAAAAGGAAGTGACCACACCTGGAAAGCATGTCCTGTAGCCTTCACATGGTAACATGTCATGTGAAAATGTCGAGCTCCGTACTCTCTTGGGCATCATTGAAAAAAGGATGTTGTCGCGGCTTCCAGCTATGCAGAACATGGTGAAAATGGAAAAGGCGATGCCCAGTACTGCGGCAAGCAGTTTCAACACTCACTCGACCGACAGAGTGAAACCTGAAAAGTGAACGGCTGTTTCACTTTACTTAGACGAATTACTAATTCAAAAGTGTAAATTCAGAGATCGTTTTACTGTCAATTGTTAGCCTAGAAAGGCTTTCCCCGAAGGGCTCATACCACCTTGTCGGACAACGGCATGAGTGACACACTTGCTCAGAAACATCTTATCGAATTACTGATGTGGAATGCATCGTACGTGCAAAAAAAACACTCCAGTAAACCTGACAGGAAATGGTGAATGACCAGGCGTGAGAAACAGTGTAGAAGAATTCTGCCGCTGAAACTGTAACAACGTAGTGGACAGCGTGTTCAACAGTTAAAAGCTATCTGCAGGTACACAACTGGGCGTCCCCAGTTGCTTCCCCTTCAGTGACATAGCTTCGTTGGGCAAGGTAGTCACTGAAGGCCTTGCCCCCCTGCTGTTGTTGGAAAATCAAATGAAAAAGCCAAAAAGGCAATGTCAAATTGGAAAATCATTGAAGCACATCATCAAGCAAGTTAGAAGTTTTACATCTTTTCAGATGGTCCACACACACACATTCTTTGCTTCCGGCGGCCCAATGTTGAAACATTGTTTTTGACAAACTCGTTTTTTGGTTAAAGTGCCACAAGCTGGCGACATTTGCTGGCCTTGCAAAGTTCGCTGCACCTGTCGTCTTACGATTGCACAACCTCAAGCTAGCCCTATTCGGACCACAAAGATCCGACGAAAAAAAAAACAAGACACCTGGCAATGATCTCGTTTGTCTTGTTTTGCAGAGCGCTGGCGAGCTGTGGAGGTTCTTACTTTACAGTCTCTTCATAGTCGCTATAGCAACACGGGTTCTGGTTGGGATTTGGGCGGCTTTTCAGATTGGTTCAGGGTGCTGCTGTGGACGAACTGCATGTGGTTTTGGGTATCTCGGGGTCAAATTGTGGCCCAGGTGTCGCTCAATGTTTGAGAAAACCACCAGAGCATTGACACTGCCAATTTGTGGCTCCCGCCCAGCAATCTTTCCAGCTGAGGTGATGGAGGGGTGTCTGATGCACAATTGTTGGCGGTTCACGACGCGTCTTTTGCCGCTTGAGGACTCCAGCGCCTGAGACTGTATCCTGTACAAGCAGTTTGCGCTGAGACAAAATAAACGCTGTTGAACTTTTGCGATCTGCATTCCAAGCTTCACTGCCCGCCTTTCCAAAAATCAAACAGTAGCATTCCCAAACTTTCCTGCAATGGGCAACCTCGAAAAGAACAACTCGACTTTTTTGCTCACTTCTTGGACACCCGGTGGCTGAGGTTAAAGTTGAATGCCATTAGCCAGGCATTGGGGCGCGGACGCGGAGGGTCACCCTCTTTTTACCTTTTTTTGTCAGTGGAAAATGGACGACCAACGGAGAAACTAGTGAGTGCACAAGTATTTAGTGAATTGGTACTCCTCATTGCATCCAACTCCATTCTTTTGTTTGGAACCATCGAGCCATCCAAGTGCTTCCAAATAGCACGGCAATGGTGTCACCATTGCAGGTCGGCTACAGATTCGATGGAATGTTGGAATGTTGGGATCCCAATGACATGCCGTGTGTCAGTGAAAAGTGACAACGACAATCATTGGCTTAGTAAATGGGGATATTTAACATCTCTGGTCTATTTATGGGATTTATAGTATGATATATATATATATGGCATGTAGATCTTCAATGGTGTACACTACAATAGCTGTTGTTTACCCCGATCGACGGATTTAATAGGGTTGTTTGACCCAAATGGGGTTTCAGCAACAAGCAATGTCTGGGATATTGAGGTATTTCCAACCAACACCATGTCTTAGAATAAGGAAATGACATCCATTCCATGGCAATCTAGTGGGGAAAACGGCGCTAATTGATGCTATGGGCATGTTTATGGAAAACATGATGATGAATACCATTGCATTACCGGTCTGGCCCATTTTGCGCAAAGCCGGCTATCTTTCGAATCCTGTAGAAAAGCTAAATTAAATACGTTTCTTCAACGCATTCGTCTTGCATAGACACTGAGATATCTCCGTGTTCCTTGAAGAATCCAACCTATTACCTCCGGTAATGAGGAATGGCAATGGAAAGTCCTGATTTTCTCGAATTTCCAGCGCGAAATCTCCATCATGGTAGTTCCCAGCCATGTTTGATGACCAGAGCGTAACCATGGGTTGCGCATGGGCCCCATGCGGCCAGGCCTTGCCGAATATCGCGACGAAAAAGATGCGTGACGACTGCCACTGTCATCCGTTGATCATGATTCTCCCATGATATCTGCCATTCATTTTGAAGCAAACCTTAGATGTGTACTTTTAGTCACTTCGTCATTTTCCAGATATTGGTGAATATATGTTAACCAAAGCAGTTTATTCAAGAAAGAGAGATATTTCATGGTCGGATCTATATCTCCTATGTAATCTTATATATATATTTATATTTATTTATTTACATATACAGATTTATTTATATATATATTATTATATATATATATATTACCCCAAGCAGTTTCAGAAACAGAGGGGGAGCTGACGACCTGCACCAAGGCTTCAAGCTCGGGTCAGAGGCTGGAAAGCCCGACTGGATGTTCATCCCAGCGGTCCCAAGGAGCGAAATCACCATGTTTTTTGCGTTTGAAAATGGGAAAAATGCATGGTGAATCTTGGATGATTTTGTCGATGTTCGGTTTCAAAAACAGATCTTCAAATAATAACTATTGGGATTATGAAAAAGGAAAAGTGCCTGGAAACGGAGTGAATTTGCCCCTTTTTGGACAGGACTTTGTTCATTTGTGGTCTGCAACATGTGCCACGGACAGGAGAAATCCCGCACTCTCAACGATGGGGAGCAAATTGCGGTCTCAATCCAGGCACCAGACGTCAGGGCTGTCATCTTCCACTCAGCTGATTTCGATCCGTAGGGCTGTGCAAAACAATCCTTGAATTGAACAACTCCACCGCAATAAGATTCTCATCAACATCGCCATCGTCAGCCATCCTTCTTCAATTTGAAGCCTGTTTCTTGACCTGGGTTTGTGTGAGAATAGGGTACCCGCAACGTTGGTTTAAAACACAAATTTCCCCATAGAAATTGCCCTATACAGGGGGTAAAATCTCCCATGCTACTCGTACCATCGCCAAATCGTATTCCCACCACATCACTGCAGAACATCTCCGTCAAGAACGTGCCGGAAGTGAACCTCATGGGTGGTGTGGATCCATTCTTGGAGGCCATTTGTCCGGGATTTAGCCCAAGGAACATGATGATAGAAAAGCCAATGCTAGGAACATCATGATCATAGCGTTTTTAATTTGATGTACCCAAGTGAATGATGAAGAGCTCATGCGTGCTAAATGGATCATGCTGCTGCCAGGTGCAGTGTGGCTTCTCCAAGGATCCGGATGCGCCAGCGCCTCAGGCGCTCAGAAATGTCTGAAATGGGTCCATAACTTAGGTGATTTTCCCATTAAAAGATCTTAAAATGTTTGGTGATCATGAAAAATGTTCCCATTTTTCTTGAGGTTAGTCAGAAAAACTGATGAATCATCATTGTTCCATCCAGATTGCACTAGATTGGTGGTAAATCCATATGGCTTGAGACAAAGCTTGCTGCTTGCCATCTTCAACTGCTCACATTCCGAGGAAGGGACGAACTAGCGCATCCAAAGACAAGGTGGATCGGACTGAGGTCCGGCACATGTGACATGCGCTGCAAAATGTGCCCATTCAGTGCCTCTCCTTCAGTTTGTTTCACTATGGATCAACCTTTTCTGCGGCATGTTGTCCAAGCCATTGATCCTCCCCAGATCTTGTCGGGCAATACCAACCCAAAGTTCTCGAAGACCCTCGACCTGCCACGGGTTTACGCCCCGGGTCAGACTGTCCGGGTGAACGTGACACGAATATCCAAAACTTGGGACCCATCTGACCTAATTTTCGGGGTAAGTTTGATTGAAGATGCAAGAACCCGGGGACATGGTTGCCAGACTGCTCGCGAATAGGAGGTCAGTATTTCTCAATTTTTCTCACATCGTACAAGCTGTGTTCATCCAAAGACACGTCGGTAGAATTGATGTAATACAATTCCGAAATTGATCACTGACACTGTCCTCTTGAGACCAGCCCAGTGACCCTGTGTTCTTTGCCGTCCTAAGGTCTACAACAAACCGGCCCTTCCAGCAAGTTTTAGAGCAGTGGCAGAGCTGTTTGTTCACTGTATTTCACTAGGCATCCCACTCATGTCTGATTACTGTCACCCCCGCCATGCTGTATTTGTGGATCACACGCAATCCCCATGTCAACAATTAATAAGAAATTCATCTATTCCCAATCAATTTCCCTTCGCCCACGACGAACAAAACTCGCCCCATGGCTCTTGTCGCCTTCGACGTTTTGCCAGGATCAGTTCATGAATTTCTTGTTGTTTGACTCCGGCACTGCAGAGGACAGCTTCCCAGTGGATTGTCATCATACATGTAGACTAGATATAGGCGTGGAGAATTTATAGAATGAAAAACGGTTGGTCATGTTTCGAGCAATGCAAAAAGTATAGAAAGGCCACATTGAAGTTGCACAATGTTGCCTTGTTCTTGCCTGTTTTTGACGATGTCACGTCTTGCCAGGACACCTTCATCGCCAGCAAAAGCCTGTCAGTGAATAAGTCACAATACCCGGTGAAGCTGTGAGGACATGATCAAGGAAAGTTTCAATTCTGATCTCAACGATCTGTTTTGTTCAACATGATAGTGATAGTCCTTATGAATTCCTTTCATTCATCTTAAACACCCAGAAACCATGGTGGATGCAGATGAAAGCAGATATTTGGTGCTATTTGGGACCATAGAATGGGGAGATTTAATATGACTGTGGGACGGTATCATATCTTTAAATTCTCAGGTACCGCTGTTCTGCCGATGTTCTGATGTTTTCAAACGTTCTCATCCCAAAGATGGGATGATCGCAATGGACCTTCTTGGGATCGGATGAAACCAGATCTGTGGAGTTCAACTGTGATTTTTCATTGGCTTCTGCTACCCACTGACTTATGTGTTCTCATCATTTTCCCCATTCAAATGGTCAAAGTGGGAAATCCATGATTTCTCCATGGGTTTCTGGCCATATGTTCCATTTTCTCTCCGTTTTCCTATGGGGTAAGTCCCCCACTTTTTGGGGCACAACCCCTGAACCCACCCCACTGCCTAGGCTGCTAGAAGGCATCAGCATCTTCGATCTGCAAAATCCACCGAAGCCCATGCCGCAGGAACTCGTCTTTGTGCCGCCTGGCTGACACGTCAAGAATGGAAGAACCAAAAAACACCACCTGTTTGGGATAGAAATTGGGTTGTTTTTCTGATGTAAAACTGAAACTTGAAGATGAAAATTTGTGTTTTTGAAAAGTTGTGACAAGCTTGGAAGTGTTTTAAGCACTTGGGGTCAGTGAATAACAACGGTCCAGCGGCTTTCCTATGCGCAGGTCGGAAGTGGCCACGAAGAAAGACATCAAGGCCAAGTTCGACGTGGTCATTTGCGAGGTGCGGAAACACAATGCCATAGTGACTATCCCCCAATTTTGGGGGTCACTTAAGTCATGGGGGATCCCCAAGTCACCATGGTTGTTTCAATACTATTGTCAGATTCTAGATAGGAACAAACTCCATTGGGCTGTGCGAAACTGGATTTTATAGCTGGGATGATGTAACATGACACCCACATGATCAAAAATTGAGGATGATTTATTGGCTTGTCACATTATGTAGTGAAGTATTGAAAGGTGTGTAGGTGTGTAGCTCTTAGATTTAGTAGACGCATTTTTCATCCACCCCGTGAGATGGATCGTATTTCAACTTCAAAACGGTGCCGTTTTCATTGCATTCTGTACTTGTTGATGCTTTAAATTGGTGGTACCTCCAAATCAGCCAAAATTCGACCATTTTAGATCATTTCAGTATTGAAGCCGATGGTTTTGGTGACCCCCATTTTGACAAGCACCCTTTTAACGCACTTCCTGGCACAGGCCATGAAATTTGTCTTCAACATCAAGTCGGGTGAAAAGTTCCCAGAGGCTTCGCGTCACACCTTGCAAACTTGGCCAAGTGTTTCGGCTTCAATGCTGAAATATCCAACTGTGAATTTGGTTGACTTATCACATCTTGTCACAGGTGGATAGTTTCGGTGGCATCGATTCCTTCATTGAAATCCGGGCCACCCGTAGCGATGTGAAGCTCAACTGCAGTGAGTCTTGATGCAAAGGGCACTCCGAAGCTGAAACTATGCAGCTTGCAGTTCCAAAGTTCTCGGACAGTCATCGGCCTCTGGTGAAGTGTTGCAACTTGATGGCCTCCAACTGATTGATGTTTAACGATGCATCTGATGAGAGCTGTGACAGAAGGAAGTCCGATTGGTTTCCTGACGAAGATCCCAAATGCGTTTGGAGCGGCAGGCCTCGGTATGAAAGTTTTTCTTGCTACATATAGATATGCGTCTGAAGTGTATAAGCACAGAAATACTCCTGTTTTCGTACAGATTATGTGCACATATGGAAGTAGCTTGGCATTGCTTGGGCCACGTGTCCCTCAAAATGTGTCGAAGCAATGCAGCCAGGACACAAGTCCACACTGACGCCGTAGCTCCAAATTTTGATCAGGACAGGCCATGATCACCCTGCTCCCATGGTTGATCATACTTACTATCAAAGTTACTATCATCGAAGGAAGTTTAGAAGTCAAACTTCCGACAATATGGACAGATGAAAAGCAGAGATGGGAAGAGTCAGAGAGAAGAGAAGAGTAGAAGAGAGAAGAGTAGAAGAGAGAAGATCAGTGAAGAGAAAGAGTCAGAAGAAAGAAGATGCAGGTGCGCGAAAAGGTAGGGAAGTCGCGAAACATTGTGTTTTTCCAATGATTTGTGGCTCCGGAGGGTCGAAAAGTAGGCTCGCTAAAGCAGCAGGTGTGGAGCCAGCTGGCCAGATGAGAGATGGAAAAGTGCACGCCGTTGTGGCGCGAAGCACATCTCGAAGTCAAAATGTACAAAACACACCAGGTCCGGACCACTTTTGGAAGTTGAGATGTCGAAAAAGTGCACGCCGTTGCGGCGCGAAGCACATTTCGAAGTCAAAATGTACAAAACACACCAGGTCCGGACCACTTTTGGAAGTTGAGATGTCGAAAAAGTGCACGCCGTTGTGGCGCGAAGCACATTCCGAAGTCAAAATGTACAAAACACACCAGACCAGGTCCGGACCAGTTTTGGAAGTTGAGATGTCGAAAAAGTGCACGCCGTTGTGGCGCGAAGCACATTTCGAAGTCAAAATGTACAAAACACACCAGACCAGGTCCGGACCAGTTTTGGAAGTTGAGATGTCGAAAAAGTGCACGCCGTTGTGGCGCGAAGCACATTTCGAAGTCAAAATGTACAAAACACACCAGACCAGGTCCGGACCAGTTTTGGAAGTTGAGATGTCGAAAAAATGCACGCTGTTGTGGCGCGAAGCAAATTTGTAACTGAAAAAGGTAAAGACACCTCACGTTCGGACCGCTTTTGGAAATTGAGATGTCGAAAAAGTGCACGGCACATTTCGAAGTCAACATGTTAAAAACACCAGGGGTGCAGACCACTTTTGGATGTTCAGATGTCGTTTCGCGTGGCAGGCGCAAGGGAGTGTGCACCTTATCAAAAGTGAGCAAAACGTGAGGGTTTTGTAGCATTTCCAAAAACGATGGCAAAGATGCATTTTCCGTGGCAGGCGCAGTACGAGAGACATCTTCATCAGAGTTGTTAGAAGGTCTGGGCGCTGATTTCCTGAGAGGGGTTGCATTTTGGAGCATCTGATCTTCAGGTTTGCTGAGATGATTTTGCGTGACAGGTGCAGCACTTCGTATGACCTGGCAGCACTTTTTTGTGGGAGGCGCAGTAGTTTAGACAGGTGGACTGGAAAATTCGTAAGACGCATTGGTACGAGGCCGCCAGCGTTGCATGCAACTTTCCATTTTTGAAGGAAGTCTCGCTTTCCGCCTTCGTTTTTGATGTTGTCAACTTCGAAAAATGAGGAAGTATCGCAGAATTGCTTCGTTTCTGACGTTGTCAAGTTCGAAACTCGAGGATGTCTCGCAGAATTGCTTCGTTTTGACGTTGTCAAGTTCAAAAATTGAGGATGTCTCGCAGAATTGCTTCGTTTTTGACGTTGTCAACTTCAAACATTCTGAGGAAGTCTCGCAGAATTGCTGCGTTTTTGATGTTGTCAAGTTCAAAACTTGAGGAGGTCTCGCAGAATAGCTTCGTTTTCAAGCTTGCAGATAGACAGGTAGATAGACAGACAGACAGATAGGTAGATAGATAGATAGATACATAGATAGATAGGTAGGTAGATAGATAGGTAGATAGCAAGATACATAGTTAGATAGACAGATGAGATAGATGAGATAGATGAGATACTGTAGATAGATAGATCGATCGATAGATAGATAGCTAGATAGATAGCTAGCTAGATAGATAGATAGACATGGATGGATAGATAGATAGACAGATGGATGGATAGATAGATAGATAGGTAGATAGATAGTTAGATAGGCAGATGAGCGCGAGAGAGAGAGAGAGATAGATAGATAAGAAAGATAGATACATAGATATATATATATACATATATATATATATATATAAATAGATATAGATAGATCGGTAGGTAGGTAGGTAGGTAGAATCAGAAAAAGAGAGAGAAAGAGAGAGAAAGAGAGGAGACCTCAACCACCTTTCGGTCCATCAGTGGATTCGCTCTGCCATCCGTGATTCACAACAACCAACCTCTCCTATAGGCTTCCTCTTTCTGAATCTTCGGCCACCGCCTTGTGCGGTACTATTGGTAGTGATTATCATCAACTACCCATGAAATTGCCACAAGCTTGTTTTTGCCCCGCTTGCGCACGCAGTGGTTCCCTGCGGTACAGGAGATCAAAGCAACTTTACCCGCAGATCCGACACTGAAGATTCAGATTGTGAGCTGCTCAGTGGCTGACCAGTGGCTTTTGGCAACGTTTGAAAAACTGGCTGCACCTATGATTAACAAGTCCGGTTTGCCTTCTTTCACAAACAAAGTCCAGGACTTCTGGCCGTTTTGTGACTCAGATCTTATGGGATAGCAACGCTCCAATGGCTGACTTTCCTGTGGCCCATCACATTATGGATATCTCAGAGGAGCCGCTGTGGGATCATGGCCAAATGTGCTTCGAACTCATGGCATTTTCCAGTTTGCTTCGGCAAATTTAAGAAACTGGATGTTGAAAGTTGCACACTATGGAGCTGAAATCGAATACCTTAAATAAATACCTGGTTACTATAATTCTCCAACAACAGACAGGAGATGACAGTCATGGGCAGCACGGCTTCAGGAGATTTGCCACAAGCAGGACTTGCCTCCCGTGGAGCACGTTATCAAGGCGTGTGTTTGTAGCAGCTTTTTCTCCAGCTTTTCCATTCCGTACCTGGCTCAATGAAAATCCTGGTTTTTGTCCACTTGTGCAGATGAGACGGCATGGCTCTCAATCTTTTCAGGGGCAGAGTCAGTAAATGATCTTGGAAGAGTTTGTAGGACTGTAGGAGTTCGTGGACTTCAAAGTGGCCCTGCACGTTGTGGCACGTTTCCCTGGCAGTTTCAGAAGATACCTGGACAAGCGGCACCCAGTGGTTACCAAAAAGCATCGTGCGGATGCCTAAATAGCATTGGGGTCTGCATAGGTGCATCACTTCTGCGAGGATGTTGAGCGTCTTGCAATCCAGGGTTTGATTCTCGCTTCAAATAAGATGCTGTGTTTGCTTTGGACTTCAAGAAAAGTTGGCAATGAGCGGAGAAACAGGTTGTCACCTCCAGCAGAAGGACTCTAAGTTTCTGCTTGCCTTTCAGCGTTTCAGTGATTCCGCACTTCACACTGGGTGATTTCGGGGAACTATTCATCTTCAGAGGCCTCGTCAACGGGTGTTTCATTGCCCCGTTTCCAACACGCGTTTCCCCTCATCAACTAGACGACGGATGGCCCGAGAGCGTAGAGGAGCAGGGTCTTCTCTTGTTAGTATGGAGACACCATATTACAAAACAATATATTAAAGATGTGTTATACGCAGTCGAAAAGAGGAGTAACATAGACCCGGGCAAGCCGGCGGCGGAAGTTTCCCAAACATAAATGACCTATAGTTCAAAGACAACCTGTCCCGACCGTGTCCTTCCCTCGACACTCCACACCTCACACTGCACACTGCACTCTTCGCACTCCAAACTTCAAACTTCACACTCCGCACTTCACACTTCACACTCCACACTTCTCACTTCTCACTGCTTCCTTCACACTCCAAACCTCACACTTCACACTTCACACTTCACACTGCGCTCTCCGCACTCCAAACTTAAACTTCACACTCCACACTGCACACTTCACACTCCACACTTCACACTTCTCACTTCCCACTGCTTCCTTCACACTTCACACTTCACACTTCACACTGCACTCTTTACGCCCCACACTTCACACTGCTCTAAACCTACGTGGAACCAAAAAAACACTAATGCGACAAAATGGAAAAAAAGTCTGCGGACAAATCACTGTGGCAGCCTTCATGCAGCCACTCCAATACGATTTACGAGATCGAGCTGCAAAAGACAATAGTATGACAAATGCAGCCACAGCACGAAGCAACCTTGACGCAGCCATTACAATGCGATCTGCAGAGATTGAGTTGCAAAACACAATAGAACTACGCGCAACGGCGTCGGAAATTGTAGCTCCAAAACCGGATCTCGACGGCAAACCGAAAAAAAGACGATTTTGAAGCACTTTTTAAAAGGATTTTTGAAAGGAAAATCACTAGCGCCAAAATGAGAAAATCTGCTGACAAATCAGTGTGGCAGCCTTCATGCAGCCATTCCAATACGATTTACGCGATCGAGCTGCAAAAGACAATAGGATTACCAATGCAGATACAGCACGAAGCAACCTTGACACAGCCATTACAATGCGATCTGCAGACACAACAGAACTACGCACAACGGCGTCGGAAATTGTAGCTCCAAAACCGGATCTCGACGCCAGAGCGAAAAAAAGACGATTTTGAAGCACTTTTTAAAAGGATTTTTAGAAGGAAAATCACTAGCGCCAAAATGGAAAAAATCTGCTGACAAATCACTGTGGCAGCCTTCATGCAGCCACTCCAATACGATTTACGAGATCCAGCTGCAAAAGACAATAGTATTGCTATCTCT